TTTGTGGTAAGTTCGGACCCACACTTTTTTCAAAACACCTAAAGTAAAGTAAAAGACCATTTCCCACGCCTTCGGGGCGTATTGGGCATATAGGGCATATAGGGCTAGTCCTATATTTTACAGACTAATCGGCACTTTGATGGGTGATGTGGTCAGCATCACGCCGGCCAGATTTACTCCCCAGGACTACCTGGTAGCCATTTAAGACTGGGTGGACGTGAAAGCCAAGGTCATTAAAAAAAAAAAGTCCGGCTCAGCCAGGACAAAAACCCAGACCTTCCGATACGCAAGCGAGCGTCTAGCACCTACACCACGGTGGCTCCTTTAAAAACATGTGGGTTACATCTTCTGGCTGTTCTGTAAATCTTAAGCACTCTTCTGTAAAGCCACATCCCCGGGGACTCCAGAAATTGATTGTTTATTAATTGCCCTTTTGGTACCTAGCCGTTTGCCTTGAGCTCTGAAAGCTCGTGTCATGGAGTGCGTCTTTCGGTTCACCAGTGCTGAACTTACGGAGAACCGTGGAGATATTTTCGGGATCTAGGGAGCTCACCCTTTGTGCGACTCATGTGGCTAGACCCTTCAATGGATAGAGACCTGGGCCAAACAGGACACAATCTAGTCAACGAAGTATATCCTTCCCCGTGTGGGTACCGGGGTCCCATTTTTGAAATGGAGGAGTAGGTGCGATCCACTGCTTCCTAACAAGCATAACGTAAAAGGCAACTAAGTATGTTTTTTTAAATTTTCTTTTTCAAAGTCCTAGCACATCTGCTGGAAAGAAGAGGAACCAAAAGTCTGGATAAAAATGAACCAAATATGTAAAACGGATGCACATGCAAAACTCAAACTCTGGAACAACACAAATTTCAAGAACAAAAGGAAGAAGAAGAAGAAGAAAAAGAAGCAGAAGAAGAAGAAGAAGAAGAAGAAGAAGAAGAAGAAGAAGAAGAAGAAGAAGAAGAAGAAGAAGAAGAAGAAGAAGAAGAAGAAGAAGAAGAAGAAGAAGAAGAAGAAGAAGAAGACGAGAAGGAGGAGCAGAAAGAGGAAGAAGAAATCGATCCTCCCAACTGTAAATACAACATGTTGGAACGCAAACAAACGCGATCAAGAACGAAAACACAAAAGCACAGACTTACTGACCAGGGCGTAGTGAAAACTTTTAAGTGTTGGGTTTTTCAGGAGATACAAGAACGAGGGCAACGACAGCAGGCTTGTCACCAGCAAACTATGGGAGAATGGATAAAGCATGTTTATAAAAAGCTATTAACATTCAATACACATGTTTTAACGGATAAGTTAAAAAGATAAAGAAACGGACAATTTTTGAAGACAGTGGCGTATGAGGCATATGAGTGAGTGTGTGAAGTTAAACTCCACTGGGACAACAGTGGCACATGAGGCATATGAGTGAGTGTGTGAAGTTAAACTCCACTGGGACAACAGTGGCACATGAGGCATATAAGTTAGTGTGTGAAGTTAAACTCCACTGGGACAACAGTGGCACATGAGGCATATGAGTGAGTGTGTGAAGTTAAACTCCACTGGGACAACAGTGGCACATGAGGCATATGAGTGAGTGCGTGAAGTCAAGCCCCACTGGGACAACAGAAGTGCATGAGGCATATGAGTGAGTGGGTGAAGTTAAACTCCACTGGGACAACACTGGCACATGAGGCATATGAGTGAGTGTGTGAAGTTAAACTCCACTGGGACAACAGTGGCACATGAGGCATATGAGTGAGTGTGTGAAGTTAAACTTCACTGGGACAACAGTGGCACATGAGGCATATAATTTAGTGTGTGAAGTTAAACTCCACTGGGACAACAGTGGCATATGAGGCATATGAGTGAGTGTGTGAAGTTAAACTCCACTGGGACAACAGTGGCACATGAGGCATATGAGTTAGTGTGTGAAGTTAAACTCCACTGGGACAACAGTGGCACATGAGGCATATGTGTGACGCAAAGTGCCCCAGTTACCAATCACTGGGAAACCCAGAAGTGCATGGAGCATATGAGTTAGTATGTAAAGTGCTGACCCTATATGGGATCAACACACACAGATGACTAACATTTGTAGCTGAGGCAAAGTGCCACAAATGGGGTGATGATCCCCCAGTTACCAATCACAGAAACCCAGTTCAACCCTTGAGGTTATAAAGTAACCTGAAGTGCTGACAGGGTATGGCGATCAAATCAGACACACGATGCTACTAATATTTGTAGCTATCAATGCAAGCGCTACACGTGAAAAGATCTGAAGTGAAAGCAAGAGGCCGCCCTAGAAGAATATGGATTGAGGACACTACAGAGTTTCTACATCGACACGGAATGACAAAAGCCAGTGGGTTTCGATCGCAGTACGTTGAAATTACGAGTCGGACTCCAACGCCTAAGCCGCGGACGACGTACCAACACTGTTGTCTGAGGTTACAACGGAATGGGACTCTCATTCGAAGGAGTAGCCTTCCCTTTCCTCTATCCCTTCTCTGTCAGCAACTATTAACCACAAATGTACAGTTATACAGCGTATATATATATATATATATTTTTTTTTTTTTGTTTTTTTTTTTTTGCAAAAATAAATTGAATTTTAAAAATCCATAAAGAAAAGTTTCCTAAGCGGGAAAAATAATATCTTCATCATGTAGCAGGTCCTTTGCAGAACGTCGCTCTCATCACAGTCTGCCTGAAAGAAACTTGGTCTCTCGCAAGTTCTCCCGCGTCATGTACTTTCATATTCAAGGAGTCACTTATTTCCCGTGCCCATCTTCGTGTCGGTCGGCCCCTGCCCCTCCTTCCTGGTACCATGCCTTCTGCTCCTAATATAAGAGCTGAAATATGTGCAATTTTCTTAAGCAACAAAAACTCACCAAATGAATGCCATATCACTGGGAAAGATCAAATCCTTGAACTTGACAATAACTGAAATTGAGCACCAGAAACTGGCCACTTTGTCCTTAACGAAAGAAAACTCATTTAAGCAATCAAATTTGTTGTGGCTGGCTCTGTGTCGTAACTTCATGATCACAATATATAAAACACTCATTAGAACAGTTTCTTCTATATGGCTCTGAAACCTGGAGTATAACTAAAAGAGATAAAGCCTTACTATAAACCACGGCTGACTGTATTTATAGGCCAACCAGGTCAACGGGGATTCCCGTTCTTGCGCAAGTCGAGAGGCTGATTCCTGCCGACTGTATTTATCTTCTCGTTCAAGACTCGTTATAAAGCTTCGATGACTACGTCGTACGACGAGACTTTGGGCCCACCAAATATGCAAACATCGGTGAAGGGAGCGTAGGAAGTTACAAATAAATGTACAGATGCTTAAATCCTAATAATTTCTGGCACTATAAGGGCCATCAGACTTTCATCGCTGGGACATACAAAGAGAAAGGGAGATAAGAGAGAGAGGAAAACTGCGATCAATCAATTAACAAATCCTTTACAGTACGTCGCTCTCTTCACGGCAGGCATGAAAGTCTCCCTCTATCTAGTCAATCCTCCAGCCCTATGTGCTTTCATAGCCAATGCATCTTCAATGTCCAGTATCCATCTTCGCGGAGGTCTAATCTAAAAGTGCAGAAGGCTGAGATGATCAGCAAAGTGGATTTGGAAAGTAAGTGGAGACTTAGTTAGTCTTTCCTCTTGAGCCTAGGGCGGAGCATAGGGAAGAGGTCACAGCTCTCCATGTCAGGCGGTTCGTTACCACCTGTTTTAGATCTTGGATTTTCATTAGGCCCATGGTTGAGCCTTCACTGCTGATGGTTCTACACAGGGTCTTTCTTGATCTTCCATGTTTTCTTGTCCCTTCCGACGTAAGGGGAGACTACCACATTATATATATCCATAGAAACTTTTAACGGAAGCCGAAACTGCGTTTACAAGTGAGTTAACTGGGGGTAGACATTATGCAGACCAAGAAGACAGAGGACATATAATATAGAGACAGCTCTACAGACATTTGGAGTCACTAGCTGAAAGGAGAAGACCAATCGCAGAGATGAATGGAGGCGAGTGATATATGTAGCAATGAACCTCAAAGGCTCAGAATGCCAAAGAAGAAAAAGAAGAAGGAGGAGGAGGAGAAGAAGACTTGAAGATTTTATGGCGCTTATTATACAAATTACTGCGAAAGACGATTGGTCTCCACAACCAAACATATTATGTTTATAATAATATTAAAAAATGTTGAGGGGCAATATGCTTTAGCAGGCGAAAACACAGGCACTTCTATCTGGGAGTACATACCCATTGAACCCTCTCCTGTAAATGTGTACAATTTCTCCTTTAAAATAGGCAACTAACCACTACCCATAATCAGAGTTAAGTATATCCACACAGGGGTTAAACCTTGATGTACAACAGCTAGAAGATCCAAACCTACAAAACACCCCATCCTTACGTCTGATTAAAAAAAAAAGCATTAAAGAACGCAAGCGTAAGTAATCCAAGTGGTTAACTCTTTCAATCCCAGGAGGATATTAATTTAACTCCTTCTATCCTAAAGATTTGAGAGCAGTTTATTTAATATGATAAAGGTCAACACCTTACATTTATAGATACAAACTATGGTAAATTTTGGAAGAACATGGTATTCAAGATCAACTGTTTGATAACATTGCTCTTTATCAAGAAAATCAGCGCACAGTAAGAACAGAAGCAATGACAGACTGGTTTCCCATCTCATCAGGTTTCAGACGGGGATGTGTCCTCTCACTATTGCTATTCATTACTTACATGGATAGAATAAAACAGGAGGTAAAAAATAAACACTGAAGAAATCAATGAACTTCTTTTTGCAGATGATCAATGTCTAATACGCCACCAAGGACATGAACATCAAACTGACTCCCTACATCAAACCTGCACAAAGTATGATATCAGAATAAATACCGTGAAAACTGAGGTAATGAGAATAGGCAGGAAACATTATAATACGAACATTCGTGTCAACGGCACTACAACAAACCAAGTAAAATAATTCAAATAAATATCTAGGAAGCAGAATCGACAGAGAAATAGAAGCCAGATTATAGATGGCAAATGCTACCACCTACCAGTTAGCTCCACTGCTTAGACAGCCAAATGGCTCCCTTCCAGCAAAATAGCAAAAGATGAAAAGCATTTCATCCCTGCTTAATACTAGAAGAGCAAAACATGGACAATGCACTGGGCACTAGTACAGAAAATAACGACATGTGCAATGCGCTATCTTCACAAGGTCACTAACAATACAAGAAGAGACAAATTCAGCATCAAAGAGGAAGTTGGAATAAGACCAGGTCTGTATTATACTGACAAAGAATGAAATGGTTCAGCCATCTAGTGAGAATAAAGTCAGAGCAAACTGCACATGAGACTTTTTACAGCAGAACCTCTGGGAGGAGGGCGAGGGGAAGTCAAAAAAAAAAAAAAAAGATGAAACAATATTGCAGCTGAAACCTGCAAAAAAATATATTTAAAAAATCCATCACCCATGCCACCCGAGAAGGGCAAGACAAATACAGAAAACCACAACACTTGGCTACGACCTGGTATCCGTGAGACGACACAAGAAGATCCTGAAATGTTGAAAGTTCAACTAACAGAATAACACAACGAGACAGAAAGTGTTCAAATAACGACTGACAAAGCTAGTTACTGTAACAACTGTCTGAGGCATACATAGTGGAGACACTAATAAGATGTAAGTAAAACTTAAAAAACTTTTTGCCTGGCTCTGTAATGAGCGAATTAAACAATAAACAAAAAGGCGTGTTATTGATCAAATGTGGAATAACCCTCACATTATCAAACGCTCCAGTTCTTTTATCAAATACATAAGTATTACCAGGCTCTGTGGCTAAGTCGATGCAAACGCTTCGTAATGCCGGGGTGCCGGGTTCTATTCCAGCTGAGGGTCATGCGCCTTGCCTTGGTTTCGACAGTGGTATCAGGGAGCCGACCGTCCAAAAAGCAATGGCAAACTACTGGACGTAAATTTGCCTAGAGAAACCACACAACGGCCAGGGGCTGCTGGGGTTGGTTCTGCAACATCCTGTAAAGGATACGCAACTAACCTTTCAAGTTGCCAACCTTGCATCATTGTGTGTGTTCCTGGGTCCCTTTGTGGAGGGGGAACAGACCCACTGTCCCCCAACAAGCATAAAGTAATTAAAAGTCGATAATCTGAGGTGAGTTCGACGTCGTAGTGCATCTGCCTGTGAGGAGAAGAACCAACAGTCTGCACATAAATAAGCCAGGTCTGTAAAACAGACTGCATGCAAGACTCAAGTTCTGGAACAAAACTAAAAGTCCAGAAGTGGCCGAACAACCCAAACTTTACGCTAGAGTTTACAGCCGGTGAACACTAAGAAACGTGAAACGACGTATAACAACCCTCCCAGTATTCAACGCTGTAATTTGTTTTTAATCAAACGCCCAAGTTACCAACCTCGTACAGTCCTCGTTTGATAGGAAACAATCTCTGAACAACTGCGACGGATGTCTCTTCATGGTTCAAGAATGGGGACCAAATGGTAGCAAAAGTGCCCAGAACTATCAAGGATAACATTACCAGCTTGAACACCCTGGTGAAGATTTTAAAAAAAAACCCACAGAGAACATGCTAAGAGAATTAACACATTCCAAACAAAATAAAAACAAAATCTTTAAATAGATATCATTTCTGTTACTTCTTCCGCGTGTGGGTTCCTGGGCGGGGAAAACAAGATTAGACCTACCGCCTCCGCATCAAGCATGTCGTAAGAGTCGACGAATTGGGGTGCATCTGCCTGAAAGGCAAGGAACCAACAGTCTGCATACAAATAAGTCAGATATGTAAAACCGATGTGCACGTATAGAGCATATTTGTGTATGTGTACTGTGTTGTCCTCCTTTATGTGCTGATGAAGGCTAATCGCTGCAACGTCCTTTGTTTATTGTGATCGATTTTGTAAAGCTAACATAAACTATTTGTTGTTTCTTACCAACTGTTTCTCTTCCCTATAATTTTCTACTCCTTTTAAAAACTGGAACAATCCAGAGGTGGACGAACAACCAGAATTTTACGCCGCAGTTTATAGCTGGTGAACGCGACGAAGAAGGAGGTTGCTGTACTTCTTCTACATTCCCCCTTACCAGAGCGGTTGTGACACTGCATTGTAGTTTACAGATAAGCTGCGAAAGCTACACCTTAATGCCCAATACATCCGAGTTTAGTAAACTCCTAGTTAGTCGCCTTTTACGACATACTGTAACACGGTAATAATTAACCCATGTTCGGCTGAGAATAAGCTAAAGAATCCATTGAGAAAGTCTGGGTCACAGTCAGAAACTTACACAACAAGATTCATTTCTCCCTAAGCTGCAATGAACGACTGACTAACTGATGTTCTAACCTACCAGGATCTTACAACGGGCGATAAAGATCCAGTGACACGAAGTGCCACCACTAGGATGAGAATCACCCAGGCGCAAGTCCCAGAAACTATATTCAACCCGTAGGTTATAGGGTCCCCGACGATAGCCGGGGTGGAGCTCTTACACAACAAGATATTTGCTTGACACGAGTGGATTAAATTTACATCTGGTTTTGGTAAGGGGAGCCCTGACAAACTACTGATGTAAGCAAAGGTTAAACTTATTTCATTTAAAACAAAAAATGCACACACACATTTCAGTATACAAAATTTGACGGATATTTTGTTAATAATTCGAATTCATAAAAAAATAGTATTAGTTAGTTAGTTAGTTAGTTAGCTAGTTAGTTAGTTAGTTAGTTAGTTAGTTAGCTAGTTAGTTAGTTAGTTAGTTAGTTAGCTAGTTAGTTAGTTAGTTAGTTAGTTAGTTAGTTAGTTAGTAGTAGTTAGTTAGTTAGTGGTACACCTAGTTATTGGACCTTAGTTAGTTAGTTAGTTAGTTAGTTAGTTAGTTAGTTAGTTAGCTAGCTAGTTAGTTAGTTAGTTTAGTTAGTTCAACAGTTAGTTAGTTAGTTCAAGCTTGAGTTACATGGAAACATCACATACTTTAAGTTAGTTTGGCAGGCACCACTTGGGGAGCAGACAGTTGTAGTTAAGTTACAGTCAGTTAACTCTCGAATACGCATCAGTCATGGAGTTAGTTAGTTAGTTAGTTGGAAGAAGGACAAAAGCAATTCTACATGCTGAAAAAATGAAGAGAATGTTAAACCCCCATCATTGCACTCCCATCTAACGGACATGTCCATAGGTGCTCAGTGTCAACATCCTCCCGAACCTCAGATGCTGATGAACCCCAACCTCCGATGGCTAATAGTACCAATTAAAGTTAGTTGCGTATCCTTTACAGGACGTTGCAGAACCAACCCTAACAGCCCCTGGCTGTTGTGTGGTTTCTCTAGGCAAGTTACATCCAGTAGTTTGCCATTGCCCACTGGACGGTCGGCTTTCTTGATACCACTTTCGAAACCAACGTAAGGCGCATTGCCCGCAGCTGGCATCGAACCTGGCATCCCGGCATTACGAAGCGAAGCGTTCGCATCAACTTAGCCACAGAGCCGACAATAGTACCAGTAAATACTAAAAAAAAAAAAAAAAAAATAGTATGATGACAACAAATGTTTACTGAGCACATTTGTCAGCAACAGAGATCACATACAACTTTAGATAGGCGTAGAAAGGGCAGACAGCAGCATGTCGAATGGGTTAGGGTGCTGGCCTTTTATGCGGGAGACCTGACTTTGATCCCTGCCAAGGAATAAAAGTAAAGGACCCTTTTTCCCGCCCTCAGGCGTAGCAAAAAAGGGCCAGACCTATATTTTACAGGACCAATTGACACTCAGTGGGTGTTGTGTTAAGCACTGCGATGGCCGCCTTTACTTCTTCATCAACAAATTTAGAGCGTCCATGACAATTCTTTTTTGTTAACCTAGATATACACCGCTTTACGAGATAAACATTTGTCAGCATAAACAGGAAGCATTTTTTATGAATGGCATTTGCAAGGCAGCCCCTTTTGCCCCCCCCCCCCAAATAATACACACACACACACACAAAAACACGTTGTTCTTTGAGGGCATACTCCGTAAGGACAGTCGCCATTTTGTTTCTGTGTTGCGAATGCGCATGCAACACCTAGCGCCACCTAACGAACGGAGACATAAAGTTTGATGTTGCTGTCACCTAATGACACCTTTTGAAACCACCAATAACATTTTCCTGCCATCCCATAACCATTTGTGACTTACTTATTGACTTTCCCTCGTATTAATTATTCTAGAACGCACGCGGAACAAAACACAAAAACGTCACTACGTACCCTTTAGAGACCTCTGCTTTTATACAGGAGCCTAACAGATAAGCAAAAAATGGCAGGGAATGATACAGCTCCATTTGCTTGTAGTTCACAGCGCAGCAGAAGAGGAAGGCAGCGATGAAGTCATTGCCTTCGTTTATGGACAAAGTTGCCAGGACGAGGAGGCCAAGGCTCACGTTATTGTATCTGATAATGTTCAGGAAACTTGTAGAGAAGGTTTCGCAGGTGATGCCAAAATGAAGAAATAATCATGATGAAACAAATCATAAATTTGGAGGAGCAGTTTTCTTTTTTGACTTGATTCCATTTGAATGCTATGTCAGTCAGGGACTGTCGGATGTTGTCTTCCCAGCAAAACCCCCCTTTTTTTTAGAGGGATAATATACATACTGCAATGACCATAGGAAAAGCCAGATTGCTTAAATATGCTACGGCTAAATATTAGCAATTGAGCTTCTTCTTCTTTCGTTCAGTGAAGTGTAAAGTTTGGCTTGCACCGGTGTTTCTCAAAGAAGTTGAGTTGATTCAAGAACCGACATCACAGCACTCGAGGCACTTCTACAAACGCCCCGCCCCCATCTTCAACAGTCAGCGCAGAGTTCCAATATCAATGGTGCCAATAGCATTCTGATTATACGTCCGTCTTGCCTTTCCTCTGAACGTCGACTATCGACCAGAACCCCTCGTCACTCACCACTGCATCACTCTCACCAGACTCTATTTGCTCCTCTGAATTGTACACGCTTTCCCATAAGGGCCTAACGACGTCTGCTTTATCATTCATCAATATTCCACCAAGTTGTGCAGAGCCAGGCAACTGTCCGCCTGTTCATTTCCCAACACACCGACATAACTCGGAGAAAAGATCCAGATAATGCTCCTCACACGTGACCTCAGCAGTGAAGCATGAGATTCTGCACAAAGCATGTCTGTCCACACCTTCCTCAGCATGCTCGGAATGTTAGAAGTAATATAGCACATTAGCACGGCTCTCTAGCGTAGTTGGCTAAACCGGATTGCGCGGTGACCGGATGACGAACTCCTTGTGGTCCGGGTTCACTCCCGTGGGGATGCAGAAAAGCCACATTTCTCCCGGATTTAGGGTATTTACAATGGAATCAAGGCCGAAAGGTTGCGATTTCCATAATACCGAGCCTAAGGGTTAACAACTCATGGCTTTTGGATACTAAAACAAACAAACAAACAACAGCAACATAGAGCACATTATACTGTGGAGGAAAATCTAAGGTAGTCACTCACACATCAGGCACTGTTTGAGACTTGAAGAGTTAGAATGTTAACTTATGGCAGATGGGTGCAGTAGGTAAAGAACATTTTTAATGAATCGGGCTAGATTAATATTTTTGTAGACCAATAAGCACTATAGATGATGTGGTCAACATCAAGAGAGCCGCCTTCGCTTCTCAGGGACTTTATCTGATACCCCGTTTTAGGCTTCGTAGACCTGACGGGTGCAGTTAGTTGCTTATCCTTTACAGGACGTTGCCGAACAAACCCCAGGATTTCTTCGCTGTAGCGGCTATTCTAGGCACATTTTACGTTCAGTAGTTTACCATTGTCGGCTCTGTGGCTAAGTCGATGCGAACGCTTCTACAAATCCCAGTCGCCTTGTAACAGCGATAAGAAAGCCGACCGTCCAGGAAGCAAAAAGACGTAGAAAAAAAAAAGCCACCTAGTTTGGTTCTACATCCTGCTCACCTACACGGTCGGCTCTTAGTATCACTGTCAAAACCAACATAAGACGATACGGATGGGCGCAGTAGCACGCAGTGGATAAATATGCACTTGATAGTTCAAAAGTCCTAGATTCTAATCCACAATTGAAAGCTTTTTTAAATAATGAATCTTGCCCGACAGGTGACCCAACCCAAAAGTTGGCTTGTCGCTTCTCTTCTATCGTGGAGTGTAGAGGTTTGTCAGAGAGATTACCATACTTTTCAATCAGCAGTTTCTTTTTGGCTTTGTTCCATTTGAGTCCTCTGTTAGTCAGGGACTGACGAATGTTGTCTTCCAAACAAACTATGAGTCGAACTCGGGGTCTGGTTCATTGGTTCTTGGCCTCCCATGCCTGTCGATTCTCTTTCCTTCTCCATACATATCTAAGCGTTCCCTGGTTCTTGGCCTTCCATGCCTGTCGATTCTCTTTCATTCTCCATACATGTCTAAGCGTTCCCTGGTTCTTGGCCTCCCATGCCTGTCGATTCTCTTTCCTTTTCCATACATGTCTAAGCGTTCCCTGGTTCTTGGCCTCCCATGCCTGCCGATTCTCTTTCATTCTGTATACATGTCCAAACAATGGTAACCGACTGAACCACTCGAGTCTGCAAAGCCTGTGTTAGAATCTAATAAATAATGAATTTTGGCTCACAGGAGGTCGACGCAACTTCACACCCGGTACCAGGGAACATCATGGAAAGTACGACCGACCGAAACCGATCACAGATTTACGGTACCTATCATGGAATCAAGGCCGAAGGGTTCTGATATCCATAGAACCGAGACAAACGGGTAACAACTCGTGGTTTCTGGATATAAAAAAAAACATCGCATGACCTATCGAAAGTCAGTAGGCACTTGCTAAATAGTCCACCTTTTACGCCAATGAAGCTAGCCTCATATCTTCATAAATCTATCGGCTCTGAATGAATGATGTAGTCAACATCACGCCGGCCACCTTTACTTTCCATGACATTTAATGGTACCCATTTTAGGTGGGGTCGACCTATCGAGTCATCAGCCTCGGCCACTACTTTACAAGCGAATCAGACACAAAGGATACTGGAAATGTCCGTGGTCGATGAGAATCAGTCCCGGATAGGCCACCAGAACTAATATAAAAGTCAGCTGCAACAGGAAGAAGAACATGCATTCAATACATTCAATTAAAACAAGCTATTTAAGTAACTGGTTGTGTTAGTCGACAGATCTTTCTTACAGCAAAACGAACCATTTAGTCGATAACTTCTTGTTAGCCTTAGACTTTCTGTCCGAAACAACGCACTGTGAGTGACATGGTATTATTCACGTGTACCAATCAACATCTTACATCTTATGTTTAGTGAGGGACTGGAGAAATTCGACAACACATTTGTTTGCTGCAAGGAATGTATATTTAACAACTTTGCTAAGGTGACTCTTCCACCTGCGAACTAGAAATACAGTCCATCGTTGATGGAAGCAGCGGCTGCACACGCAATTGATCGCATAAGGTAAAACCACACTGATTAAAAAAATGGACAATTAAATCAGGCCGGGTAATAAATATCTCAAACATGCAAACATCAAGAAAACTGCATCTGACAACAGATGTGGGGAAAAACAAAGGGGGTGGGGAAAAGGGGGGGGGGGGGAGCAGACAGTCGACAAATGGTAAATGGTGACTGAATGACACTAACGAACGAACTTCATTTTAACACATTTACAAACTGGGCATGCAGGCCCGCCGTACATTCGGCCCTCTTAGACACTCGTCTTTCATAGACAGCAAATGCATTCCTTTAAACATACACTCAAGAAATAAACACTGAAGGCAGATATACATGGGTCAGACACACAAGCGAAGTAGCCGTACAAACGCGCGCGCGCACACAGCCACACATACACAAACGCGCGCGCGCACACATACACAAACGCTCACACACACGAGAGACTGAGTTGGGCAGCCAACAAGTCATACACATTAACAATAATATAATTACAGACAAACAGACAGAATGATAGATAGATAGATAGATAGATAGATAGATAGATAGATAGATAGATAGATAGATAGATAGATAGATAGATAGATAGATAGATAGATAGATAGATAGATAGATAGATAGATAGATAGATAGATAGATAGATAGATAGATAGATAGATAGATAGATAGATAGATAGATAGATAGATAGATAGATAGATAGATAGATAGATAGATAGATAGATAGATAGTTAGATAGATATTTAAGACAGACAGTTAGGGAGATAGATAAATAGACAGATAGATAGACATACCAGACAGACAAATAGATAGACAGATAGACAGACAGCCCAGACAGACAAATAGACAGACAGACAGACCTTTACGGCAGACAGACACGCATGAGGTTGTTATCAGACAATGATAATGCTGAAGAACGAACATCTTACAATATCGTTATCCTCAGACTCTGACTGTTGCATTATGAAATAGGCTGCAGCGGCTGGCAGAAACAACAGCACATCCATTGCAAGCACTGTAAGTGTGTATATATATATAAATATGTGTTTGCACGCGCGCGCACGTGTGTGTACAATGTTTAAAATAACAACAGATCGTTTGTGACCAGAGCAAGTATATATAAAGTGCTTAACACAACAGCATATCGTTTATTGGTACAGACGAATTCTACGAATTAGTTATTTAGAGCCAAATAAAACTGACAAATATGAAGTAGCAGCAGCAACAGCAGCAGTAGTAAAAGCAGCAGCAGCAGTAGTACCAGTAGTAGAGCAGCAGCAGCAGAAGTAGTAGTAGTAGCAGCAGCAGTAGTACCAGTAGTAGTAGTAGTAGTAGTTTTAGTAGTAGTAGTAGTAGTAGTAGTAGTTTTAGTAGTAGTAGTAGTAGTAGCTGCAGCAGCAGTAGTAGTAGTAGCTGCAGCAGTAGTATTAGTAGTAGTAGTAGTAATAATAGTAGTAGTAGTAGTAGTAGTAGTAGTAGTAGTAGTAGTAGTAGTAGTAGTAGCAGTAGCAGGAGCAGTAGTAGTAGTAGTATTAGTATTAGTAGTAGTAGTAGTAGTAGTAGTAGTAGTAGTAGTAGTAGTAGTAGTAGTAGTGGTAGTAGTAGAAGTGGTAGTAAAATATATGTACGTTTAATTAACACAAAAGCATATCGTTTATAAGCATTGTATAAAGTTAATGGTAAACACAACGGCAGGGCCGTCTTAACGCATGGGCCCGCTAGGCACTAGGAAGAAGGGGGGGGGGGTGGTAGATTAAGCGTGTAGTTTTGATCAGGTTAGGGTTAGGTTATCGCGCGAAAACCTTGACCTTGGGAGAGACGCGCTAAAACAAAGAAAACCTGCTCTCACCACCCTCTAATATACTGGACTGTCCCGTGACGTCATTTGTGGTCGGCTAAATAGAAAACATCGTCTCTGTCCTTTATCCCCCAATGGAGCACAGGCCTACAACCAGCTCATGCCAAGTCGTCATCTTATTTGCTACTGCATGTAGCACACCCTGTGTCTCTCTCCTTTATTTATATGCGCTTCAGTGCAAAAATATTCTAGTTATATTGTTGTCAGGTTTTCTCCACATTTGTCCTATCCTACGCCAGCGTCTTTTCTTCACCTCTTGACTCACTGGAATTTGTAGTTCTCCCGCAAAGCGCAACATCAGTCATTCTATCATACCATTTAATCCTCTTTATTCGGCGCAGGCACCAGTTAATGAATGTTTGTAGTTTATTAATAATCGCTTTAGATGTTCTCATTGTTTCCGTTTCATAGTACTAATTTGACATTAGCATTACAATTGTGAAGTTTAGTGTTAGATTATTTAATTTATTATGACCTCTACACATGTCCTATTGCTATGAAAGCTCATGTTACCTTCTGTATTCGTATTTTAATATTTCCATCAGTTCCTTCATCTAGCAGCATTATCTGAGTCCGGTGGGGGAGGTGGTGGGGGGGGGGGGGTTTATGTGGCTTCAATTAGCTTAGTTCTCATTAACTCTTCTTCTACGAAATCATTTTTCTGCAGCTTCTATGCATTGTGTCACGAATCCGCTGACCACCAGTGACTTTAAACAGTTTACAGACAATAAACACGTACCTGTCATTCGCATGAAAAATTTCAGCCCAGGATCTTCGAGTCCCTGTGATTCTTTCAATGCCACCATGCTAGAGTTAACATACTGTGCTCTGAAATTATATATATATGTGTGCGTGTGTGTGTGTGTATACATATATATATTATATATATATAGAGAGAGAGAGAGAGAGAGAGAGAGAGAGAGAGAGACAGACAGACAGACAGACAAAGAGAGAGAGACGAGAGAGGACAGACAATTAGAGAGAGACGAGTCAGTGTCAGACAAATAACAGAGAGACAGACAACGACAGAGAGAGAGACAGACAGACAGACCCCCCTTAGAGAGAGAGAGAGAGATGTCACAAAGACCCCCCCCCAGACAGACAACCTGACAGACAAAGACCAGATAGAGAGAGCCAGACTAGACAGACAAAGAGAGAGAGACAGACAGACAGACAAAGAGAGAGAGACAGACAGACAGACAAAGAGAGAGACAGACAGACAGACAAAGAGAGAGACAGACAGACAGACAAAGAGACACAGAGACAGACATACCTCTCCTAGATACAGAGATACATACAGACAAAGAGAGAGAGAGACTTGGAGACAGACACCCACAAACAAACGATACAGAGAGAGAGACAGACAGACAAAGAGAGAGACAGAAAGACAGACAGACAACAGAGAGAGATCTCATACAAACAAGACATAGATAGACAGACAAACCATCCATAGATACAAGACAGACAGACAATTCTAGAGACAGACAGACAAAGATACATACAGACATACAACATACATAGAGAGAGACAGACAGATACAAAGAGAGAGAGAGAGAGAGACAGAGAGGGGGGGGGTGGTCACGTTGCCTTGCACGCTACGCAGCGCACTGTGGCAGTTTTCGCACAAAACGCACATGACGCAAACTTAACAGACGACACAGCTTTCACGACCCCAGAACATCTAGAACAGCCCAACCCCCCCCCCACATACCCCCCATACATCATAGCCATTCACATACATAGCATAGGTCACATGAAAGACTACAAAAATACATGCAACGTGACATACCATTCTGGCCAGATCAGACTGAGAAAGTGTGTAGATGGACCGGGAAAAGTGAACAGGTCCATAAATATATATATATACACGTTTTCCCGGTCCAAGTTTAAGGGCACATGTTTAAATCCCCACTGTGGTAAATAAAATTAAAAAAAAATAAATTTAAAAAAAAAGACGAAGAAAAATTTGACCGGACTCCCAGGTGGTCACAGCCTTAAAATGGGTACTTCATTAAAATGGGTACTAGAAAGAGTCAAATCTGCTCTTCGCATGTAATATGTTTTTGATTTAAATCGGCGTTACAACAGTACACCCTAAATACCACACTGCCATTTTATTGGATTAAAGCATGACAATTTCCAAGATTTAAATTCCCACTGATGTAATTAATATTTTTTTTAAGTCGACCACGCTCCAGTGGGGTCAGTCTTAACTCTGTCAGTCCCGGTTAGCATCAGAGGTCCAAGTGGTAGTACAGAGAGATGTAAAATCGGCGCATCTTGCGTTCATTGTGCCTTTAGGTAGCAGCATATGAACGTGTGATGCGTTTCTTGGGCTTAAAAAAAAAAGGTCAAAATAGGTACTAGAATGAGTACAATCTGCTGCTGTCTGTGATATTTTATGAATCAATATACAGAACATTATCTCCATAAGAAGAACACTCACATTTTACCATTGATCATCATGTGGTAGGCGGTCAGTGGTGGGTAATCCAACCCCCAGTACTGCAGTCTGTTGTCTTTGCTCTCTGTGTACCTGGGAGCAATAGAAGCTGGCTAAATCATATCTCAGCTAGTTAAGTCTTTTTTTTCAGCGTGACTGGTATAATCGACATAACAGAAGAATGCATGCGTTTATTATCTATGGTTGAGAATTATTTTGCATGTTGTGTTTTCAAAATAAAACGTGCATTCTCAGCCCTCTTCATGGTAAAATAAGGAGAAGGGTGAGGAGAAAGGCGGAGGATTAGGAGGAGAATAATAAAAATAATAATAATAATAATAATAATAATAATAATAATAATAATAATAATAAGAAGAAGAAGAAGAAGAAGAAGTAGTAGAAGAAGAAGAAGAAGAAGAAGAAGAAGAAGAAGAAGAAGAAGAAGAAGAAGAAGAAGAAGAAAGAAGAAGAAGAAGAAGAAAAAGAAGAAGAAAAAGAAGAAGAAGAAGAAGAGAAGAAGAAGAAGAAGAAGAAGAAGAAGAAGAAGAAGAAGAAGAAGAAGAAGAAGAAGAAGAAGAAGAAGAAGAAGAAGAGACAATTTATATTATTGTCTATTGGGAACATCTTCTTCTTTTTCTTATATGTTCACTGGCTATAAGCTCCGGCAGAACATCCTGTTTGTTCATCCATATGAACTTTGGCTTTGTGCCAGGGCCTGAATTTTGCGTGTGCATCCGTTTTACTGGCATATTTGTGTGCAGCTGGTTGTTCCTGGCCGTTCAGGCAGATGCACTCCGACTGCGAGGGAAGCTCCCAGTTAATCGACTCTTACAACATGCTTTTTCTGGGTAGGCAGTGGGTCTATTCTTGTTTTCCCACAATGGGGCCCCAGAAACCCACACGGAAAAGACTAATAGGCAGTTTGAGGGTATGCTGCATCAGAGGACTGAGCAGTTATGGGAACGCCCAGTGTGCGGTTACGTTGATAGTGATCTGACTCAAGTCTGAGTCCGAAGAATCTCAGCGCAGTGCAGGAACTCCGAAGCAAGGGCGAGTAATAACGATAGTATACTGAAATGGCAGATACATATAATGCTATATTTAAAAAAAAATTTTACGTGTATTTTTAATAAAAACTTTGGGTTTAAAGAGAGAGAACTTATGTTGGTTAGGGACGGAGAGCGTGGCAGCTTAGCCTCCAAGAAAATGTGGAAAGGGGAGAGGCTGAAGCAGTGTTGCAGTCCGTGGTCTCTTGATTTAGAAAACTACAACACGCAAGAGTAGTCGCCGTGGCCGAGCGGTTAGACGCTCGCCACGCATCGGAAGGTCGTGGGTTCGGTTCCTGACGGGTAGCCATATTTTTTTTTCAAAAATGACCTTGGCTCCCAGGTCGACCCAGCCTTGAGTGGGTACTGGGTGCAGTCCCGGGAAGTAAAGGCGACCGGCTTGATGCTGACATCACTCATCTTGTGCCGATTTGTCTATAAAAAAATAGGTCTAGCCCTATACGCGTAAAGGCGTGGAAAAGGGTCCTTAAATCTTTTTTTTTACAACACGCAAAACAACGTTTAACCACAAATTTTAAAAAGAAAACGACTCACGAACTCTGCTTCATAAATTAATATGCGGTTAACAATTTAATTACAAATGGTGAAATGGAACTGATGGAACAAATAAGTAATAAACGTAGATAACTTGATAAGAAATGGAATGTGCACGTGAATGAGAAACTGAAAGAGAGAGGGAGGGAGAAAGAAAAAGTAAATGGCGAGGCATGATAAATTCGCATGTGTAATCGTTATCAAGTAATGATTAAACTGTCTAAAGTATCAGGTGATATTTTCTTTCTCGTCGCTTCGCTGTCGACTGAGTATGCGTGTGCAGCTAGTTTTGTTATAAAAGTAACTGGCAACTTTTCACAAGTTACAGCTTCTGCCTAAGTGTCGAATGCATGCAGCTAGAATTCTTTTCGTTGTTCCTGACGTAAACCGAGTGGCGTATTTGTAATAAATAGTAGACAGTAACAATAAATAGAGAATACGTATTTGTAATAAATAGTAGACAGTAACAATAAATAGAGAATACGCATTTGCAATAAATAGTAGACAGTAACAATAAATAGAGAATACGTATTTGTAATAAATAGTAGACAGTAACAATAAATAGAGAATACGTATTTGCAATAAATAGTTGACAGTAACAATAAATAGAGAATACGTATTTGTAATAAATAGTAGACAGTAACAATAAATAGAGAATACGTATTTGTAATAAATATTAGACAGTAACAATAAATATAGAATACGTATTTGTAAAAAATAGTAGACAGTAACAATAAATAGAGAATACGTATTTGTAATAAATAGTAGACAGTAACAATAAATAGAGAATACGTATTTGCAATAAATAGTAGACAGTAACAATAAATAGAGAATACGTATTTGCAATAAATAGTAGACAGTAACAATAAATAGAGAATACGTATTTGTAATATATAGTAGACAGTAACAATAAATAGAGAATACGTATTTGTAATAAATAGTAGACAGTAACAATAAATAGAGAATACGTATTTGCAATAAATAGAGAATACGTATTTTTAATAAATAGTAGACAGTAACAATAAATAGAGAATACGTATTTGTAATAAATAGTAGACAGTAACAATAAAGAGAGAATACGTATTTGTAATAAATAGTAGACAGTAACAATAAATAGAGAATACGTATTTGTAATAAATAGTAGACAGTAACAATAAAGAGAGAATACGTATTTGTAATAAACAGTAGACAGTAACAATAAATAGAGAATACGTATTTGTAATAAATAGTAGACAGTAACATTAAATAGAGAATACGTATTTGTTCTTTAGCAAGGGAAAGTGTTGGTGGCGAGAAAAGCCGTTACATACACGCCTCACCACTGCAAGACGCGGGGTGGGTGGGGGGGAGTGTGAGTAGATGTGTGTACCTGTGTGTGTATACGTGTGTGAAAGAGGCAGAGGCAGCAGGTAGCGGCATTTAACGTTATTTCAGATTTGTTAAACTACCCTGTTTCCCCCAAAAATAGGAAAGATCTATTTTATATTGTGCTTTAAAAATGCACTAGGGCATATTATTGGGGTATTGGGAGGGGGGGGGGGGGTTATTAGATACAAAAAATCAACATTTATTCATGTACACAATTCTACATTTATTCAAATGCAGTCATGTCTTTTTTCTCTGGAATATCATCATAAATCTCCAAATCCAGAATTCCGGCAACTCCGACTAGTTATTCGGCAACAAGTCTCTCATTCTAGCTTAACTGCGCTTTTTTTTTGCGGGGGGGGGGGGGGGGGGGGGGGCTTTTTTCGGGAAAACACACGAGTATTAAAATCTCTACCCCCCCCCCTCCCACCTCCCCACCCCCTCAGAATCAAGAATGAAAGATACGTTACCACTGTTCAGTAGGAAGATTGGCGGTGATCTCCATCCAGTGCCTCTGTGCTTCAAAATCCCCAAACACTGGAGGTTTACCTTCTCCTGTCAAACACGGGCCATGTTTAAAATACAAGTTGGTGGACTCATATAGGACTCAGATTTATCAATATCGTATGCCATGTCGCACGATAATATGTACGAATATTGTACTACTATTATTGTACTACTATCTCCATAGAACAAACTGAAATAAACAGATGGGAAACCATCTGGAGAAACGAATACAATTATTTCCACAGAATGAACTGGAATAAACAGATAGGGAACCCCTGAACCCGGCGAAGTGGGTAATGAACAGGCAGACAGATTGGCTGGATCTGCACCACTGGGTGGTGAATTGATACATGACAAGGCAGATGTGGTCAAGGTCCTTTGGAATGGAAAAAAAAAAATAACTTTCCGGGATGGCATAGAAGATCTTCTCTCGGCGGCTTATGCGTTGCGAACGTTACGCTTCACAATGACGAGGTGCCAGGTTCGAACTTCGTTGCACCGGCGAGGATCCGGAAATACTCTTCGGTAGATTTTTAACTTTAAATTTTGTTTGGGCAGCGCCGTTGGAGTATTTTCGATTTCCAACTGGCATGGGATTTTTTTAACGTGCGCAACAATACACACGGGCGTCCGATAGTTCTACCCAGAGACCAGGGAAAATTACTAGAAGTCCACGTAAAAAAAATCCTAGCCTTCACCGAGAACCCGGGACCTCCAGCACTCGAGGCGGACACCATGCCTCGAGACGACACCGCCCCCCCCCCAACCCCCGCTACAATTTGCATAGAAAAACAACAGTCAAAAAGATGCTGGAGTTGGTTCTGCAACGTCGTGTAATGGGCGCGCAACTTACCCCCCCCCCCCCCCCCCCCCCCCCCCACCACCACTTAAAAAAAAACGTTTCCTTTTATCGCAGTTTACGAACAAATTCTTGACTAATACCAGGCTTTTGTTTTTTCTGGC